CTGCACATGCTCGAGGACAGCTAAAATAAAAAAAGCAGGTAATAACAAGTGTTGCTGAAGATGTGAAAAAAATAGAGACACCTTCAAACACTGCTCGTGGGAAGATCGAACTGTCTAGCAATTTTGGAAAGTCTGCCCAGCTCCTCAAAAAGTTAAACATAAAAGGGCCACTGGACCCAGCAATTCCACTCCTAGGCATATTACCCCAGAAAAGTGAAAACACATGTCCAGGCAAAAAACCTCTATGCAAATATTTATAGCACCATTGAGCATAATAGCCAAAAAGTGGAAACAACCCACATGTCCATCAAAGGATGAACAGCCATGTAAAGGAATGAAGTACTGATCCATGCTACAGCATGGATGAACCTTGAAGACATCAGGCTAAGTGAAACAAGCCAACCACAAACAACCACGCATTAAATGATTCTGTTTACATGCAACATTTGGAACAGACAAGTCTGCAGAGATAGAAAGTAGATAGGTGGTTGCTTAGGGCTTGGGGTAATGAGGAGACAATGGGATGACGCCTAAAGGGTACAGGGTTTTTACTGAAGAGATGAAAATCTAAAAGTGACTGTGGCGATCGATGCACGTATCTTTAAATACAGTAAAAACCATTGCATTGTACACTTTAAGTGAGTAAGCTGTATGGTATATAAATTACATCTCAATAAAGCTGTTACAGGAAAATAGGAAAATAGGAAAATATTTGAGCTACAAGAATGTTAGGCAGTGATAAGGGAAAACACATGGATAAATCTAAACAAACGTCTGTGTAAAATAATACTTTGAATTATAACTAAAAAAATATCAAGACAAACAAAATACAAGACAATACTGCACATATGTTGGGAGAGACAACTGGAACTAAGTTGTCCCAAGTCCTTATACTGTGTGGGGACTGACAGTCTGAAAGAAATGATTCACTTTAGAATTTAAATATGCAGGATCGGACGAGACACCACTAAAGGGAGAGAAACAGAAGGAAGTTCCAAACACATAGAGCAAAAAATGAAATTTAAAAAAAAGCAAAAGTGCTCAGAGGTCAGAAAACTATGAGCTGAGGACCAAATGTAGCCCACCACCCTCCTGTTACTGTTTTCCTGGAACTTAGCCCCCCTTATGATTTTTCCATGGCTCCTTTTGAGCTACAGTGGCAAGGCCAGGTACCTTCAACAAGGACCAGACTTTACAAATCTGTGCTGACCCCTGCTTCCTGATACTATACAACAGACAAAAGCAAGAGTTACTGGGGGCTTCAGTTTCCTGAGCATTGAAATGAAGAAAATATTCGGTCTTTTCTTCGGAGGTACAGGATTCAATTTTTTTTTTTTTTTTTGAGATGGGGTCTCACTCTGTCACCCAGGCTGGAGTTCAGTGGCACAATCTTAGCTCACTGCAGCCTCTGCCTCCCAGATTCAAGCAATTCTCCTGCCTCAGCCTCCAGAGTAGCTGGAACTACAGGCATGTACCACCATACCCGGCTATTGTATTTTAGTAGAGACAAAGTTTTGCCATGTTGGCCAGGCTGGTCTCAAGCGATTGAACGGCCTTAGCCTCCCAAAGTGTTGATACTATAGGCGTGAGCCACCATGCCCAGCCTTCAGGGTTCAATGAGAGAAACAGTATGAGTGCAAGAACTTTTGTGTAGAAATGTCCTCAGCCAACTCCCTAGCTTCAGCTTCAAACCACCCTCTTCAGCTTCAACTACCAGAAGCTAACTTCCTACAAGAGAAAAAGAGCAGGCCCATCTACTGCAGCACAGAAAGACCTCAAGCCACACTTCTCTCAACATCTTGCAGAACTACAATATCACAGCAAGATAAGTGATGCTGATACAATCCACAAGCTTAGTCAGATATCTCGGATTTTACATGTATGCAAGTGTGTGTGTGTGTGTGTGTGTGTGTGTGAGAGAGAGAGAGAGAGAGAGAGAGAGAGAGAGAGAGAGAGATCCCACCTAAGTTGATGCATTCACCACCACAGTCAAGATACAGAACAGTTTCATCACCACAGGGATTCACTGGTTTGACCTTTTATAACCATATCTACCTCCCTTGCTCTTCCTTGCCAACCCCTGGCAAGCACTAATCTTTGTCATTCAAGAATGTTATACACAGAGTCATTCAGTGTGACCTTTGGGGATTGGTTTTTGTCACCAACAAATCCCCTGGAGATCCGCCCAGGCTGCTCTTTCTCAAGAGTCCGTCCCTTTCCGGTGCTGAGCACAGTGCTGTGGTATGAATGCACAGTGTGTGTGGCCTGCTGGAGGTCACTGTGGAAAGACATGCAGGTGGTGTCCAGCGTTTAGCTGTTACAAAGAGAGCTGCTGTGAACATTTCTCTACAGGTTTTCGGTAAGTGTTAGTCTTCATTTATCTGGGATAAATGCCCAGGAGCACGAGTTGCAGGGTGGCTGCATGTTTAGTGTGAAGGAACCTTCCAAACTGTTTTCCAGGGTGACTATGTCATTTCCCATTGCCATGGGCAACAGATGAGGGATCCAGTTTCTCTGCACCTGCAACTGGTGTTGTTTCAATGTCTTTCTTTCAGCCATCCTGCTAGTTAAGTGATGGCTGCTTTAGCTGCTTACAAGACTACATTTACAGTTGAGGTTAAAAGTTTTTTTTTTTTTTAGACTGAGTTTCGCTCTTGTTACCCAGGCTGGAGTGCAATGGCGCGATCTCGGCTCACCGCAACCTCCGCCTCCTGGGCTCAGGCAATTCTCCTGCCTCAGCCTCCTGAGTAGCTGGGATTACAGGCACGCGCCACCAGGCCCAGCTAATTTTTTTGTATTTTTAGTAGAGACGGGGTTTCACCATGTTGACCAGGATGGTCTCGATCTCTTGACCTCGTGATCCACCCGCCTCGGCCTGCCAAAGTGCTGGGATTACAGGCTTGAGCCACTGCGCCCGGCCTGAGGTTAAAAGATTAAAATAAAATTAAAAAGTAATCCATACGTATTTTGTAGAAAACTGAAAAATACAGAAACATATAAAAAGAAATAAAGTCCTGTTTCTTCTGTTGGGAAAAAAACCCACCATGCTGCTGTTTATACCTAAATCAATGTACCCAAGTTGCAAACAGCACGAGGCAGGCGCCATTGCTTTATTCTCACCCCCGGGTTCCACTTGGAACCCTCCTCACCAGGATGACAACTCTACCCTGGGCCTCTGCTAACATCCCTGTGGCCTTCGTGTCAGAGGCTCACCTGAGGCTCAGGCTCTACCAGAGAGCCTCAGTCCTCCTCAAAACACTGACAACTATGGCCCCAACTAGAGAAAGCAGTGAGGACTCCTTCCCAAGTATGAGCCACAGACACAACAATGGGACAGAACAGGCTGGTCCCAGGGCTCCAGGCAGTGAAGCATGCACACATCGGGGGAGTGGCAGGTCACTCCAGAACAGGTTTCCTCACTGCTTGTTGTGCAGTAAAGGTTTTGGCAGCCTAGTAAAGCCTATGAGCCTCTCTCAGAATAACATCTTTTATTTTTCTGAGACAGAATCTCACTGTGCCACCCAGTCCAGAGTACAGTAACCGATCACAGCTCACTGCAACCTCCACCTCCTGGGTTCAAGCGATTCTCCTCCCTCAGCCTCCCGAGTAGCTGGGACTACAGGCACGTGCTACCACACCTGGCTAATTGTATTTTTAGTAGAGACAGGGTTTTACCATCTTAGCAAGGATGGTCTCGATCTCCTGATCTTGTGATCTGCCCACCTCAGCCTCCCAAAGTGCTGAGATTACAAGTCAGAACCACCACGTCCAGCTTAGAGTAACATTTTTAAATGTGTAATATACAGATGGCAAAACTGTAAAAAAAAATTTTTTTTTCTGAGGCAGGGGCTTGCTCTGTCGCCCAGGCTGGAGAGCAGCAGTGTGACCATAGTTCCCCACAGCCCTGACTGCATCTCCTACCTCAGCCTCCCAAGAAGCTGGGACTATAGGCACACACCACCAGGTCCAGCTGATTTTTTCATTTTTCTTTTGTAGAGATGGGCGTCTTACCATGTTGACCAGGCTGGCTTCCAGCTTCTGGCTTTAAGCCATTCTCCCACCTCAGCCTCCCAAAGGGCTGAGCCAAAATATTTTTAAAAACAAACATATTCCATAGTAGTATGTAACATTTCATGTACTGATGAATAAAACACATTCAAAGTGTCTGCAGCTACAATGTGAGATGGAAAGTCTGCTTTTTTTCCTCTTAGTGGCAAAGTCCTGGGTGCCGCTGACCCCACAGGCTCATTGCCACATTTGTAATGGAAAGAAATGCTAAATTCCAGGTAGAGCTTAGTAAAAATAAATATGCAATTTTTTTCCTAACCAAGCTCATGGAGCCCTGAATTTCACAGACCCAGGAAATACAGGACCAGGCCTCTTCCCTAAGAGACTCCTGAAGGCTGTCCCTTGGCCTTGGTTCTAAGGGAAGGAAGCTGCCCACATATAGCCAGGGGCAGGGCAGAGGCACAGGTGGGGTCCCGGCGCCCCAGCGAAGGTCTTGCAGAAAGGGACAGTTGGTAGAGAGGCTGTTTTGGGCTACTGAGAAGGCATGCAAATGGGTTGCAGATCGGCCGACCCTGGGCCCTGATCCCACCAGGGACGGGCCAGGGCAGAACTCAGTCAAGGGAAATTCCCCTTAAAACCTAAATGTACTATAATCTGTACCAGTTCATCTGGGAAAAACTTCAGCCACTTTTTTTTAGATCCCAAGTTTTCTGTTTCAAACCTCAGGGGTAGGTAATGGAAAAAAAAAAAAAAATTAGTGCTAAGAATCTAAGGGTCAGACAACGCTCAACCCGGTCGTACAGAGGGTAGAGGCCTTTGATGTCCAGCAGGTCCAACATCTGCATCTGGAGGGTTTTGTACAGAAGACAGCCCTTCGGTAACCCCGAGCGCTCTGGGGTGTTTGGGGAAAATGAGAGCATGTTGATTATCAAATATTGTGGAGGGAGACACAGGCCGGCACAGACAGCATGTTTTTGGATGGGTCTGCCAACCTTCGTTAATGCGAATGCCACTGTCCCGTCATCCTCAGTGGAAAGGTCAAGCAGCTTCTGGTAAAATGCTTCATCATAAGGCCCATCTATTTGTAAGGTTTTTCTGAAGAAGAAAGCATAGTAAAAACAGGATGACAAAGCCACACAGAGGTTGTTTCTTAAACTGCTAACACAGTCTACAAAGCCCAGTACCACTAAACATCTCACACTTTATTTTGAAAAACACGTAATAGATCTATTTCCCTCATGTTAAACAGGGAGGTTTTTTTGTTTGTTTGTTTGTTTGTTTGTTTGTTTTGAGACGGAGTTTCGCTCTTGTCACCCAGGCTGGAGTGCAATGGCGCGATCTCGGCTCACCGCAACCTCTGCCTCCTGGGTTCAGGCAATTCTCCTGCCTCAGCCTCCTGAGTAGCTGGGATTACAGGCACACGCCACCATGCCCAGCTAATTTTCCATATTTTTAGTAGAGACGGGGTTTCACCATGTTGACCAGGATGGTCTCGATCTCCTGACCTCATGATCCACCCGCCTCTGCCTCCCAAAGTGCTGGGATTACAGGCTTGAGCCACCGAGCCCGGCCAAACAGGGAGGTTTTAAACAGAACTTAGCAAGGTCAGAACGAGGGAGCCGTGAAGCTGAGCCATCTCCTGTTCATCACAAGTAGCATCCTGCATCAGAGACGCAAGTAAAGACTAGCAAGGAAAGAAGAGGATCCCTGCCCCAACTGGACACAGCACAGGTGTGGGGCCCAGTGACCCCAGTGAAAGCCCAGGATGGAGGCTTGGCTGACACAGAAGGGCCTGCAGGAGTGCTGCTTCGCTGTGGAGCAATACTGCCCTCTGCAGGCTCAGCCCCAACTCAGGGATTGGGATTACCAGGGTCACAGATGTGCTTTCTTTTCTAGAAACTGGTAAGTGACCCTGTTCCTCCTTCACAAGGCACTAAATTGCAGAGCCAGGAATAGGTACCTGGGAGCGGAGGACTGGAGCGGGGAGTGGCCGGCCTGCTCTGTCTCCTAGGAAGCTGTGCCCTGGGAGGCACATTCTTACCCTGCCCCCGCTACAGTCTCCTCTCAGAGCCACCAAGACAGGGACCGCCTGACCTCACCTCTCCTCGGGAAACTCTTCCAGGTATCGCTCAACCCGGTTGTACAGAGGGTAGAGGCCTTCGATGTCCAGCAGGTCCAACATCTGCACCTGGAGGGTTTTGTACAGAAGACAGCCCTTCGGTAACCCCGAGCGCTCTGGGGTGTTTTTTCCTACCGAGAACATCAGGGGAAAATGAGAGCATGTTGATTATCAAAGATTGTGGAGGGAGACACAGGCCGGCGCAGACCACAGGGCTCATCCTGGGCTCAGCCATACGGGCATCACCGCAGGCGAGGGCTGGACCCTGGACCGCTAAGGACAGAGACGACGCTCCTGCCTCACAGAGCTGCTGGAGCTGGAGTGAGCCTGGACCACACTGGATGCACCAGGCTGAACACAAAGGAGAGCCAAGAAGCTCATGCGTCTTGCCTCGTGCCTCTCCTTCACCAACATAACTCTCAGAATGACCTTCAGATTCCATCACAACAGCCCTGGAAGTCACTTTCTGATTTAAGTTTAGAGACATAATCCTCATTCTGAGGCAGGGGACAAAATTTATTTTCCTTCTTTTTTTTGAGACATAGTCGCTCTGTGGCCCAGTCTGGAGTGCAGTGGCATGATCTCGGCTCACTGCAACCGCAAGGCAGACAATTTCTAAGGATTCTGCTGACATCCTAAATCTGTAAGACCACTAAAAGGAAGACAATCCCAGGACACTGCAGAGTCCAGAGCCACGAGCCCACACTGAGAGGCAGGTAAGGCCTGGGCTGGCCACAGGCATGAGCTCAGAAGCAGCCACACAGAGCCACAACAGTGGTCAAAGCCACCGACAAGGACCTGTTACATCATAGGGACAGAGGCAGAAACCAAACCTCATTTGCCACTCACAGTTGTTTAGCACCTGTGCCGTACAGGGTGCCAGATGAGCTTGGGAGGTGCCAAGTCCCAGACCATCTTCTCCCCTGAAGGGAGCAGCCGTCTCCTACAAAGAACCACACTACAGACACACAGTAAGAAAGGTGTCCATACAAGAAGAAAACTGTAGTCACCTGCAGACTTCACTAGGACCTAACATGAAAATGCCAATGGGCAGGAAAATGGGAGTAAAAGCTCACATGCCCAACTGGAGGGGATTTGTTAAAATTACAGCAGATCTATGCGTGGTCAATAAAAGTTGAATAAAATGCATGTCATCGCCGGGCACCGTGCCTTATGCCTACAATTCTAACACTCTGGGAGGCCAAGGCGGGCAGATTGCTTAAGCCCAGGAGTTCAAGATCAGCTCGGGGCCGGGCACGGTGGCTCAAGCCTGTAATCCCAGCACTTTGGGAGGCCGAGGCGGGTGGATCACAAGGTCGAGAGATCGAGACCAACCTGGTCAACATGGTGAAACCCCGTCTCTACTAAAAATACAAAAAATTAGCTGGGCATGGTGGCGCGTGCCTATAATCCCAGCTACTCAGGAGGCTGAGGCAGGAGAATTGCCTGAACCCAGGAGGAGGAGGTTGCAGTGAGCGGAGATCGTGCCATTGCACTCCAGCCTGGGTAACAAGAGCAAAACTCCGTCTCAAAAAAAAAAAAAAAAAAGATCAGCCGATCAGCTCGGGCAACATGGATAAACCCCATCTCTACCAAAAAAACAAAAATTAGTTGGATGTGATAGTTATGCCTACAGTTCCAGCTACTGGAGGCTGAGGAAGGAAGATCGCATGAGCCCAGGAGGCAGAGGTTGCAGTGAGCCAAGATCACACCATGGCACTCTAGCCGGGGCAACAGAACCAGACCTTGTCTTTAAACTAAATAAACAAACATATATATGCGTGACGGCATAGATACAGACTTATGGTAATTAAGTTAAAAAGTCAGGTCATGAAATGCCATGTAAAGTATGATCTTATTGTTTTAAACTGTATATCCCAGCGGCCGGGCCCGGCTCCACTCCCTCCCGTCTGTGTCCATGTCCAAGAAGGTCTGCAGGAGCCCCAGGGTGCTGTGGTGCCTCCTCTTAGTGCCCCCAGACTACCTCAGCAAGTGGTGCCATCTGTCCCTCCAGATACAGTCTGCTTTCTTAAAAGCAGGTATGTACCAAGATTATGGGTATAATTTTAACAAAATTTTCTGAAATGATCAGGAATCACTTTCATAACAAGAAAAAAAAAAAAAAAACCACAAAATTTATTTGTAATGAGAAAACATGGGGGCCAGACATGGTGGCTCATGCCTGTAATCACAGCACTTTGGGAGTCTGAGGTGGGTGGAATGCTTGAGGTCAGGAGTTCAAGACCAGTATGGCCAATATGGTGAAACTCTGTCTCTACTAAAAATACAAAAATTAGGTGTGACAGCGCGTGCCTGTACTTGGAAGGCTGAGGCAGGAATATCACTTCAACCTAGGAGACAGGTTGCAGTGAACTGAGATCACATGACTGTACTCCAGCCTGGGTGATAAGAGTAAGATCCTGTCTTGAAAAAACAAAAGAAAAAATTGGCACAGGCAGCAGAAAAGAGGGCAGAACCTAGGGCATGGGCGGGTTTCTGGCTGCACACAAGCAGGACCATTGTCTTCAAACCGTCTCAGGCTCCCAGAGACCGTGGGGTTTCTGTAGGCTGCCAAGAGTCACGAGCAGGCTCAGCTCATGAGACGTCAGGATACACAGCAGTGGCCAGGGCCCAGCTCCACGCCCTCCTGTCTGCAAGGAAGGTGTCCTGCAGTCCACAGGCCCCACGGGTCTGTCTCTTTACTCCAGACTTGTGAAGACACCCCACTATGGCAGGACGCAGCCCTGAAGGGTTTCTGTGCCTCAATTCTCCCCGTCTAAGGAACCAGCCAAGGAAAACCAGTACCCAGGGTTGCAATGAGGATTCAACAGGATAACATGGTTGAAAACATTCGACAAACCAGAGAGGACCACAACATATTGATGATATTCCAGGGGAAATCCTACAGCCCAAATGTGTCCTGCAATTTACAAATGCAGATTAAAAGCAAGAAAGGAAGTCCGCATCTGGGGGTGAGAGGCAGCTAGGCCCTGTGCTGGGAGCACTGGCAGAACCAGGTGCTATCCCCAGGTCCCCCAGAAGGCTTTGTTGACCGCCTGGCCACCCACGGGGACCACAGAGTCCCAAGGCCCCTGCGGCCCCCACCGCCTACCTGGGGAAGGCTGGGCCCTACCTTGGCAGCGCAGGCTCCTGCTGAAGGGGCTGGCTTCACAGACTCGCGGGCCCCGAGGCCGAAGCCCCGGTCTCAGGGTGCCTGCCCGGCCCTTGTCCGAGCTGCTCAGCAGCACCCGCGTGATCACGTGCACCAGCTCCCTGATTACAGCCCTTGTGCAGTGGGGCCCACTGGCCAGGCCGTTGGAAGGGAAGAAGAATGGCTTCAGGTGGTGTGCAAGCTCGCTCCAGTCAGCCACGGGACTCCGGGCATCTTTGCAGCCATAAATCAGCTCACCATTCTTCAGGCAGGGAAAAGAGAGAGGGAAACGTCAAACCACCAAGCTTGTAGGAAAAGACCTCAGTCCCCACCACCAGCAGGCCAGGCAGTCGGTGAGAGCCAAGGGCCCTGATGCTGTCGAACCCATCTGTGGCCGCTGAATACTCCAGCTTCTCCAGGGAAACCCACCCTCACGAGCCATGCTGTCAACCAAGCAGCAAACCCTGAGACATGAAAAAGAAGAAAATGTTTCAAAAACTAAAGAGCAGTGCCCTGGCCTGACCAACCCCCACCCAGACAATGATACACAGTGCATTTAGAAGCCAAGAGCAAATGCTCACCACAGGTGACAAACTCCCAAAGCCACTAGCCCAGTTACTCAAGAGCCTGAGGGCCTTGGCTTGGCCCTGAGCAGGCAAACGCAAGGATGGCAGTCAGCACCAGCACGGCAGATGAATGTGTCCTGGGGTTCCGGCCACGCCCAGGGTGACCCCAGTGCCGGGTGGTGCAGCTGAGCCAGAAGGTGGGAGAAGCTGCTGGCATCATCAGTATGGAAACGTCCATGCTTAAGACTGTTCTACCTTTTTAAATCAAGCCTAGCAAAGAAATTCCTTACAACATCAACATTCAGATTCATACATACCTAGGGCACAGGCAGGAACATCTGCTGCCATGCCCAGCGGGGAGTCGACACCATGACTCGTGGGAGTCTGGGTGGTGCCCAGGGGAAAGGCCCCTGATAGCAGCCAACCCCAGGAAAGTAGCAACTCTTTGAATATAATTTATTTAATTTTTCATGTTTTTGAGACAAGGTCTCACTCTGTTGCCCAGGCTAGAGTGCAATGGAGTAATCAAGACTCACTACAGCCTTCAATTCACAGGCTCAAACAATTCTCCCACCTCTGGCTCCCAGGTAGCTGGGAACACAGGTGCACACACCACACCAACGTAATTTTTTTATTTTTTGTAGAGACAGAGTTTTGCCATGTTGCCCAGGCTGATCTTGAACTTCTAGCTCAAGCAATCCATCCACCTCAGCCTCCCAAAGTGCTGGGATTACAGATGTGAGCCACCGCACCTGGCCCACACCTGGAACTTCAGAGCTTTCAGTTTTCTGCCTTGCTGGGTTTGAATACTGAACCAGACCAGATTGGCAGGAGAGTGATTGAATGCACAGTAGGCAATGTGCCTTGGCGCTGCCCTGTTATCTTAAAATGCATCCCTTCTCTGAATCCATCCCCCTTTCAACTCTTTTGAAACAATCCTAATCCTTGAGAATTTTCCATGCCGATTTTAACGGAATCAACAGCCAGCCAGAGTTCCAGGCCCCAGAGACCTTAGGTGCAGGCCAGATGGGTCAGAAAAGGGTCCACTTGCCGGGCGCGGTGGCTCAAGCCTGCAATCCCAGCACTTTGGGAGGCTGAGGCGGGTGGATCACGAGGTCAGGAGATCAAGACCATCCTGGTCAACACGGTGAAACTCCGTCTCTACTAAAAATACAAAAAATTAGCTGGGCATGGTGGCGCGTGCCTCTAATTCCAGCTACTCAGGAGGCTGAGGCAGGAGAATTGCCTGAACCCAGGAGGCGGAGGGTGCGGTGAGCCGAGATTGCACCATTGCACTCCAGCCTGGGTAACGAGCGAAACTCCGTCTCAAAAAAAAAAAAGAAAAAAAAAGGAAAGGGTCCACTTGGGATAACATGCCAGTCTTATAACAGGCTTCAAACAAATCCCTGATGAAACAGAATGTATCTTCAGGGTTTAAATACTGAGTTTATAAAAATAAATTATATAAATATGAAATAAAAACTGCCTGTGAAATATGTTATCCTTTCCTGGATTTGGGAAGGTGGAGGCAGACAGCAAATGAAGCCAATTCACTGCCCAGCAGCCAGCACCATGGGGTTTCTAAGCAAGACCTGGGGAGGCAGGTCAAGAGCAGGCCCCATCCGCCCACTGCTGAGAGGCATCCAACCGGGCAGCAGGACGCCAGCCATGTGGAGCAGTGAGGAGAGGGGCCAGGGCTTCCGGTTCACCAGTCACCTTGTTGAGACCACTGCACACAGGAAGCTGAGAGGCTCGTGCCCACCAGCCCTGCCTCCTCTGAAGGATCCACCTGCCATGGCTGTCAGCTCCCCAGGACTCTGTCCCCAGGTGTCACTTATGTGTGATGGATTATGAGGCTACAACTGGGACTGGGGTGATGACAAGGAAGAGCCCAGAGGATACAAGTCCAGCATGGGCCCAGCACCCCGACTGCCACCCAGGCCTGCCCTGCCTTACATCTCATCACTCTTTTTCCCCTCAGCCTCTCCTCCACAGACACCCCAACCCTGCCTGGCCCTAACCCCACCTGCTCCCCCTTGGACACCACTGCCAGCAGTAGGGCAGGTGATGCCAGCCCAGATAGTGCCAGAGCCATCTTCACCAATGGTTCACCCGTCTGCTCATCACAACAGACCAAGGCCCACTCAACAGTTGTTGGGGCTTTGGTCGAGCACCCCAGGGTCATGGAAAACCCACAGTCACTCAGATGTTGTACTTTTGGAAGGAACAGTCATGGAAAACCCACAGTCACTCAGATGTTGTACTTGTGGAAGAAACAGTCACGGAAAACCCACAGTCACTCAGATGTTGTACTTGTGGCAGGAACAATCATGGAAAACCCACAGTCACTCAGATAATGTACTTGTGGAAGGAATAGTCATGGAAAACCCACAGCCACTCAGAAAAAGGTCAGGGAAAGGCAGGTCTGGAACTAAAAGGTCAAAGGTGAAGGGTCAACCAGTCAGGGCATGAGGACCCCAAAGGGGATGTCAGACATACACAATGTGCAGCCCAGCCCAACACCCTTGTCTGTAAAGTCACCTGAACCTTCGCTGGCCCTACCCTGAAACCACCATAGAATCAAAGCAGCTCTTACCTTAAATATCTTTAAGTTGTTCTGTGCCTCCTGCAGCAAACTCTTCAAGGCAAAGTGCATTCTCTGTTTGTTTCTAAAAGGGAAAAGTGTTAACATGCTTTAAAAGCAGCTGGAACTGACCTGTCCCTGTACACACATCTGCTCATGGCTTATGGTGGGTACTCCCAGGGGTCACTGGGAAACCCAGAGTCCAGCGGGGTCTAAATAGTGACACTCTCCCCTCACTACAGCCTTGCTATGGGGTCCCCCACCCCAAGGGTCACAGATACAGCTCCACAGCCTGACACACACTCACTAGAGATGTGGGGGTTGGCCCTGACCCCTGGGCCTGCGGGAGATGTGAGGGACCCAACTGAGGCACAGGAGTGGGAACCTAGCCAGCAGCATCACAGCCCGACCCAAGAAGGGTTAACAGCTGCTCTGCCTCCCCTGTTCCTCCTGCCGCAACTTCCAAAGGCTCAGGGGCAGCAGGAGGCCCGTGACGGGCCATGGAGCGGGTGCCGGGAGCCAGGGAGAAGCTGGAGCCCCAGAGAGCCTCGCCCTCCAAGCAAAGAGCTGTGAGGCTGGTCTCCTCCCCCACCTCCACATAGGAACCTCAGGGGGTCAAGCTGCCCATGCAGGCACGAGAGCCTGGCCGTGCCAGTGGGGAGAGCCCACGAGCACACACTCAGAAAGGCACCCAATAACCATGCACTCTCTAGCTGACTCCCAAAAGCCTGTATTCTACAACACTCCAGGGAAGGTTCCCTACTTATGTTCTGACAATTTAATAAATTATCAACAATTAATCTTTATTACGAATGCTTCACAATTTACAGCCTTTAGGTGCAAAGGGAAATCCACATGGGACCCATAGGTGAGTGAACTGCTAGCCTCGCTGAAGCCATGGAGCAAGCGGCGGTGGTGCCGCCTTCTGAATGAACATTCCCGATGTCTGTGAACCGTTTAACTTCCAAAGACAACTCTGTGTTTGATCTTTGTTCCAGGAAGTTTGCAAGAGCATCTAACCAAAAGCTGACATGACGACCAGGTGCGCACTCAAGAGGCAGTGCTGAGCACTGACAAAGGCAGGGGCACGAAATGAATGCTCAGAGGGCAGGGTGGGAGGAAAGAGTAGAGAAACTCAGGTAGCTGAGTGAGAAAAACCGGACTCACCAGAACAGCTCTGCGGTAATGGGGGTCCCAGAGAGGGAAAGGAGATTGGAAAGAGGAGCTGTGTTGATCAAAAAGGACAGCAATGGCTCACAAATCCACACTGCCCTGTGGCCAAGGACCCTCTCCTGGGGGTATAAGGTGGGGCAAAGGGCTGGGAGGTACCGCCCTGAATCCCAGGTGCCGCCGAGGTCCCATCTCCCTAAGTCCTGCCAACTCCCCCTGCTGCTCTCTTGGCCTCAGGGCCTTGCTCATTGGACCCCAGGCCCCACTCCTGATTGACCCTCCCCAGCTCCCAGCCACTACTGCCTTCCTAACCACAAAGGCCCTGGCCAGGACTGGACCCTGGGCTGCCCCAGGTGAGTAGTGTGTGGGGCACACAGCAAAGCTCTGAAGGCCGGGGAGTGTGGAGGCAGTGCCAAGGTGGGGAGTAGAACTCAGGTGCCCGATCAGAGGCTGCAAGCAGGCCTTGCCCAGACAGAAATGGCCACCGTAGCAGCAGATTGTTTAGTATCCACAGAGGAGGGAGAGATCAAAGGCACAAACAACCAAACTAGGAGGGCCCAGACTAGGAGATCAAGGCTGAGCACCAGCTCATTTCTTATATAGGTAGAAGACAAATCTGGTCACAATTCGGATGAGGGAACAACCAGTATGTGAGCAAGCATGTAAGACTGTGAGCACAGGGACATGAGTGGAGCACAAAGTCCCAGGTATCTACAGCGCTAATGGCGAAGGGGAGCCCTGAAGACAGAATGGGGCCCTCCCCCACTTCCTACCTCACAAAATACCCCCCACCAGGCACTGCGTCCCCACCCCACCCATCTCCAGGGAACGTGACACAAGGGGGCAAAGAAGAAGTGTTCTCTTACCCTGAGTAGAGATCAAGGGGACAGTATTTACTGATCTGCTTCCATTTCCCAGTTGCCACCTGTGAAAACACCAACAGGAGGGCATGAGGTGACTGGTGCTGGTGACCGCACTGTGCCAACTGAACACACAGAACAGCATCAGTGATGAAGACAATGAAGACGGGCTGAAGCCTTGCCCTGGAAAAGGTGCCACCACCTTTGCAGGTGCACATCGCTGAGTAGGGGAGGGAGCCACTTGACTTCCATTCAAGGAAACCTTGGCCCCATCTGTGAGACGCGAGACCCCATCTGTGAGACGCGATGAGGCATGGCCCCCAGGCCAGCCCTTCACAGGAGCAGGGAAGAAAGCAGCAAACACCTTCAAATTATATGGCAACATTCTGGTAATGTGAGTAACAAACCTTTAGAAGTTATAATATCCAGTAACCATTAACAAGGAATGTCATGTTGCCAGTTGGAAGATAACTGGCATAACATTTTGAAAGGCAACTTGGTGGTATCCACCAAACTTTAAAATGTCTATGTCCCCTGACTCAGCAAATCTACCAGGAACCTAGAACAAGCACAGGGCAAAAAGGTACAGAGACAAGAATGTCCACTGCAGCCTAACTGATAACAGCAAACCCTGAAACCAAGAGAGACAGTCATCAATAGGGAAATGACTAAATAAATCACAGCCCATCCACAAGTGGGGCCAGCACACAACAAGCAATTTATGGAATGAAGGAATGCATAAATGATATGCAGCCACGAACAGAAAGAGGCAGAGTTGAAAGTCACCAAGATTTATTCAAGGAAAAAAGCAACTGGCGGAACAATAGATACAGTGTAATGTCATTTTTGCTTAACAACAACAAAAAAAAGCTTATGTACAAATATACATGCATATATCCAAATATGCACTGAAAAAGCCCTAAACAATCACAAACAATCCTCAAGGATCAAGTGAAAAAAGCAGTTAGACAAAGTACATATGGCATGATCCCATTTTTGCTTTGTAAGAGTGTGTGTATGTGCACGTACAGGAATGTAAACATTAGAATATGTGAAGAGAGATCATTTCATTTCCACTGAATTACACACATATTTTTGTGGGCACAGGAAGAAGTCTGGAAAGATATGTAAACATATCTGACAACATGAGTTACCTGGGAAGGCACGTCATCCAATTCATGCCATGTCATATGTTACTGGTTATATGAGCAGGTAGTGCTTTATAGTACAAAGTATTTCTTAAAAATTTGTCACATATGTTGAAAGTGAATGGTGACCATGAAAATTGTATCCTAAGGGGCATGGCTCACATACCATCTTTCCCCTAAGAGCTTAGATAGTAATTACACCACAAAGAAAAGAAGGGGTGACATTGGTGAAATGGTGGCACAATGAGCTCCAGAAATTCTCTCCTCCTAAAGGCAATCAGAAAACTGGTTAAAAAGTCACAATCAAAATTTTTGAAGTCTGGAAATTGATCACAGACTTGAAACAATGCACGAAGCATTTATTCAAGAAAAACAGCTAAATCTAACCAAGATCAGTAAACTTATTGGCATTTTAAATCCCCTATTCCCATCCTCCTATCTCTAGCTCCAAGGGAACCTTGAAAACCAGCAGCTGCAATCACAGTGAAAACCAGCTGCCTGGCAGTCACAGACAGCGCAGAAGAAGGCAGGGCATCTCCAAAGCCTCACTCTCAGACAGTCACTATTTGACCTATCTCTGGGTTCCTGGAAAGATCACACTTGCAAGGCTGTCTTCACTGACCTGACTCAGAACTCAACCATGCAGGAGGCCTTTTCCCCAGGGGCATTTGTCAACAACATTTAGAGGCGACTGTTTAACTTGATGGTTTCCTTGGAAGGTGAATAAAGAGCAAATGGTTAACCAAAGCTAAAAAGGAAAAGCTGAGTAACAAAATGTACACAGAGGCTCTGAAAGCTCCAACATATACCTGGGAATCCGGAAAGCCTTTACAAAGACTCAGAGAAGATCTGAGAAGGCCCTCAGCTCTTACCTGAGCTGATCTGAGGCTCCATGGAAGTGAAGGCTAAGGCAAAATTATCAACCACCCTAGTGAATATTGAGTGGGCCCTAACATACAAACAGAGCTCCTCAGCAAAGACTAGGAGACTTATTCATTCCGGCATGCCTGCCATTGAAGAAACTATCTGTTGACCCACTAGCTGCCCACTAAGCTAACTGAGCAGACTTTAGAGGCCACATATGACAAAGAATACACACTTCACAAAATTAGCACAGAAAACTCCCTAACAAACATTAACAACTACAACAAGCAGCAATTAAAAATCTTGCAGAGGGAGTAGAATCTAACTCCAGAGGGGCAACATTATATTATTTCAAATGCCCACCTTCAACCTATCATCATAAAACATGCAAAGAAACAACAAAGTATGGCCTATATACAAAAAAAAAAAAAACAATCTCTAGACTGCCCCTGAGGAAGCCCAGACACTGGACATGCTAGACAAAGACTTCAACCAACCTAAATATGATTAGAGCTAAAGGAAACTAGGGACAAAGAACCAAAATGAACAAGGAGAATAATGTCTCAACAAATAGAGAATATCAATAGAAAGGTACAAATTATAAGGCCGGGTGCGGTGGCTCAAGCCTGTAATCCCAGCACTTTGGGAGGCCGACGCGGGTGGATCACGAGGTCAAGAGATCAAGACCATCCTGGTCAACATGGTGAACCCCGTCTCTACTAAAAATATGAAATATTAGCTGGGCATGGTGGCCCGTGCCTGTAATCCCAGCTACTCAGGAGGCTGAGGCAGGAAAATTGCCTGAACTCAGGAGGTGGAGGTTGCGGTGAGCCGAGATCGCGCCATTGCACTCCAGCCTGGGTAACAAGAGCGAAACTCTGTCTCAAAAAAAAAAAGAAAGGTACAAATTATAAAAAGGAATTAAAAAAAAATTCTGGCCAGGCATGGTGGCTCACGCCTGTAATCCCAGCATTTTGGGAAGCTGAAGTAGGCAGACTGCCAGAGCTCAGGAGTTTGAGACTAGCCTGGACAACATGGCAAAACCCTATCCTACAAAAAATTTTTAAAACTAGCTGGGCATTGTGGCATGCACCTGTAGTCCCAACTACTTGGTGGAGGCTGAGGCAGGAAGATGGCTTGAGCTCAGGGGGATCAAGGCTACAGTGAGTCATGTTCATGTCACTGCAGTCCATTCTGGGTGACAGGGCAAGACACTGTTTAAAAAGAAAAAAAAAAGAAGAAAGAAATTCTTTAGTTGAAAAGTACAGTAGCTAAAATGAAAAAGTAGCTAGAGGGGCTCAAGAGCAGACTTGAATAGGCAGAAGAGAAAACGGGTAAATCTTAGGTTAGAAACCAAGAGCTCTACACCCAGACACACCATAATCAAACTGTCACAGGACAAAGACAAGGAGGGAATCTTAAAAAGCAGCAAGAGAGAAGTGACTATCCCATACAAAGCACCGTCCCAAAGATTAACAGCTGATTCCTCATTAGAAATCATGGAGGCCAGAAGGAAGCAGTATCATGACATATCCTCAGTGCTAAAAGAAAGACTGCCATACAAGAATTCTAGATGAAGACTATCCTTTGAAAATGAAAGAGAAATTAACACATTGCCAAATAAACCATAACTAAAAGAATTTGTTGCTAGCAAACCTACCCTACAAGAATTACTAGAGGGAATCCTTTGGGATGAAATAAAGGATACTAGACAGTAACTCAAATCCACAGGAAAAAATAGAGTATCAGTAAAGGTAACTATATAGGTAAACATAAAAGAAGGTATAAACACATTTTGTAACTCTTTTTCTATATAATTTGAGACAACTGCATAAAGTCATAATTATAAATCTGTGTCGCCCAGAACATGATGTGGAAACATCTAATTTGTATCCCAATAACAGCACAAAGGTGGGAGGAGGCAGCAAAGCTTTAGAGGAGTAAAGCTTTTGTCTACAAGTGAAATGGAGTTGGTATTAACCTAAACTATACTCTTTAAGTTATTATGTGAAATTAATACTCACAGCAACTAGACAGAAAGTCAACAAGGAAGAAGGCTTGAACAACACTATAAACCAACTAGACCTAACCTAACCATAGAAAACTACATCCAGCAGCACAGGTTACACATTCTGCTCAAGCAAACATGGAACATTCTTGGGGAGGAACCTTATGTTAAACCACAAAACAAGTCTCGATAAATTTCAAGAGCGAAATCATGCAATTTTCTCCAAACACAGTGGAATGAAATTAGAAATCAATAACAAAAGGAAATTTGACTCCCAAATATGTAAAAAGTAAACACTTCTAATTATCATTGGGTCAAAGAAGAAATCAAAAGAGAAATCAGAGAATTAAGATAAACAAAAATGAAAACACAACATAACAAAATTTATGGGATTAAGAGAAAGCAATTACTTACAGAAAGATAAATAGTTGCTTGGGACAGAGTCTTGTTCTGTCACCCAGGCTGGAGTGCAGGGACATGATCTTCGCTCAGTGCAACTTCTGCCTCTTGGATTCAAGGGTTTTTTATGCCTCAGCTTCCAAAGTAGCTGGGACTACAGGCACAAGCCACTATGCCCGGCTAATTTTTGTATTTTTAGTAGAGACAGGATTTCGCCATGTTGACCAGGCTGGTTTCAAACTCCTGTCTTCAAGTGATGCACCCACCTCAGCCTCCAAAAGTGCTGTGGTTACAGGCATGAGCCATCATGCCCAACCCTTAGCAATGAATTTAACAAAAGAAGTATAAGACTTATACATGAAAAAATACAAAACACCATTGAAGGAAACAAAAGACTTAAATAAACAGAAAGAAATTCTGTGTTCACAGTGAAAATATTAATACTGTTAGGATGGCAATACTTCCCAAAATGATGTACAGATTCAACAGAATCCCTATCAAAATCTCAGATGATTTCTTAGCAGAAATGGACAAGCTAAAGGCATCCAAATTGGATAGGAAGAAGTAAAACCCTGTATTCACAAATGATATGATCCTGCATACAGAAAAATCCAAGGAGCCCCCAAGAAAGCTCCAAGAGCTAATTTAAAAATTAAGCAAAGTCAGAGGATATATGATAAACACACAAAAATCAGTTGCTTCTATATATCAGTAATGAAAAATCCGAAAGAAAATTAAGGAAGTAGCTCATTTACAATCACATTTACAATATTCCAAAAGAATAAAATACCTAGAATAAACTTAAAGTACTGAAAGACTTGTACACTGAAAACTACATTGCTGAAAAAAAAACTGAACACCTAAATAAATGGAAAGGCATCCCATGTTTATGGAGTATAAGACTTACTATTGTTCAGCAACTTGGGAAACCAAGGAGGGCAGATCTCAAGGTCAAGAGATCAAGACCATCCTGGCCAACATGGTGAAACCCCTTCTCTACTAAAAATACAAAAATTCGCTGGGGATGGTGGCACACGCCTGTAATCCCAGCTACTCAGGAGGTGAGGCAGAAGAATTGCTTGAATCTGGGAGGCAGAAACTACAGTGAGCCAAGATCGTGCCACTGCACTCCAGCCTGGTGACAGAGTGAGACTCCATCCCAAAAAAAAAGAAATAAGACTATTGTTAAGATTGTTAAGACAGTAATACCACAAGTGATCTAGATTCATGTGATCTCTATCAAAATTCTAAGCCTTTTTTTGCAGAAATGAAACCAAACTTCAAATTCTTATGTAAGCATGAGTGGTCCCAAATAGCTAAAATAATCTTGAAAAAGATGAAAAGCTGAAAGCATCATACTTCCCGATTCCAAAACATATTAGAATGCTTCCATAATCAAAATTGTGTGGTACTGGCATAGAGACATACATAGAGACCAGTGAACTAAAATAGACAACCCAAAAATAAATCCTCCTATATATGTCCAAAAGATCTCTAGCAAGGGTATCAGGACTATTATTTGGAGGAAGACAGTGTTTTCAACAAGTGTGGTGAAAACTGGATAACCAAACAAAAAATAAAGTTGGACACATACCTAGCCCTACATACAAATATTAACTCAAGACGGCTCAAAGATCTAAATGTAAGATCTAAAACTCTTGGAAGAAAACATAGGGGAAAAGATTCATGACATTAGATTTGGCAACAATTTCTTGGATATGACACCAAAAGCACAAGTAACAAAAGAAAAAACAGACAAACTGGACTTGATCAATACTAAAAACGTTTGTGCATAGAGGACACTATCCACAGAGAAAAAAGGCAACTGATAGGAGACAATATCTGCAATCACATATATCATAAGGCTTTACTATCCAGTATATAGAGAACACTTACAACTCAGTAACAAAAAAACCTCAATTTAAAAGTGGGCCAATGGCTGGGCATGTTGGCTCATGCATGTAATCCCAACACTTTGGGAGGCCAAGGTGAGCAGACAGCTTGAGCTCAGGAGTTTGAGACCAGTCTGGGCAATGTGGCCAAACCCATCTCTTCGAACAATACGAAAATTAGCTGAGTGTGGTGGCATGCGCTGGTAGTCCCACCTACTAAAGAGGTTGATGTGGTGTGAACATCCATTAAACACAGGAGGCAGAGGCTGCAGTGAGCTGTGATCACACATCTAAACTCCAGCCTGCGTGACAGAACAAGACCTCTCTCTCACACACACGCACACACACAAAGGCAAAGAACTTGAATAGACATTTCTCCAAAGAAGATACAAAATGGACAATAAGCACATGAAAAGATGCTCAATATCACATCATTTAGGGAAATGTAAATCAAAACCACAATGAGATACCACCTCACAAACATTAGGACGGCAATAACCACAAACATGTTGAGAAATTGAAACTGATATGGTTTAGATGTTTTGTGCCCTCCAAATCTCATGTTGAAATGTGACCACCAGAATTGGAGGTGGGTCTAGTGGGAGGTGTTTGGGTCATGGGGACTGATCCCTCATGAATGGCTTGGTGCTGTCCTCACAATAATTAGTGAGTTCTTACTCTATGAGTTCAGAGATCTGGTTGTTTTAAAAAGCCTGGCACCTCCTCCCTCTCTCTCTTGCTCCTTCTCTTGCCATGTGATACTCTGGCTCCCCCCTTGCCTTACGCCATGATTTTAAACTTCCTGAGACCTCACCAGAAGCTGAGCAGATGTGGTTGCCATGCTTACACAGCCTGCAGAAATGTGGGCCAAATAAACGTCTTTTCTTTCTTTTCTTTTTTTTGAGACAGAGTTTCGCTCGTTACCCAGCAGGCTGGAGTGCAATGGCGCGATCTCGGCTCACCGCAACCTCTGCCTCCTGGGTTCAGGCAATTCTCCTGCCTCAGCTTCCTGAGTAGCTGGGATTACAGGCACGAGCCACCATGCCCAGCTGATTTTTTGTATTTTTAGTAGAGACGGGGTTTCACCATGTTGACCAGGATGGTCTCGATCTCTCGACCTCATGATCCACCCGCCTCGGCCTCCCAAAGTGCTGGGATTACAGGCTTGAGCCACCGCGCCCGGCCAACGTCTTTTCTTTATAAATTACTCAGCCTCAGGTATTCCTTTATAGTAATACAAAATGGACTAACTCTCCTGTCATGAGCTACCAGGAATGAGCATAAACCTGGGGTCTGGGAGCCATGGCAGGAATCACAATGCAAGTGGGGACTGTGGAAGGGAGAAGCAAGTGGAGTTTCCAGGAGCCAAGGGTGCATACCAGTCACTTCGGTGGGAACAGGAATGTTACACATTGCTGCTAGGAATGTAAAGTGGTCCAGCTGCTGTAGAAAACAGTATGGAGGTTCCTCAGAAAGTTAAACATAGGATTACTCTAAGACTCAGCAATTCTATTCCTGGGAATCTACCTCAGAGAACTGAAACCAGGGAATCAAACAAGTACCTATACAAAGGTTCACAGCAGCACTATTCACAATAGCCAAAAGGCAGAAACAACCCACACACTGGAATTCCATTCAACAGATAAATGGATAAACAAAACATGGTACATTCATGCAATGGAATATTATTCAGCCATAAAAGGAATGACATGCTGACACATGTCACAACATGGATGAAGCTCAAAAACATCATGCAAAGTAAAAGAAGGCAGTCACAAAAAGTCACATACTGTGACATTATTTATATGAAATGTCCAGAATAGGGAAATCCACAGACACAGAAAGTAGACTGGTGGTTGCCAAGAGACAGCAGGAATAGGGAATGGAAAGTGACTGCTAACAGGGATAGGGGTTTGCTTTGAAGTGATAAAAATGTCAGCAACTAGATAGAAGTGGTGATTGTACAACCTTATGAAGAGACTAAAACCACTGAATTATATATTTTAAAGGAGTGAATCTGGTGAACATGGGCTGGGCGCAGTAGCTCACACCAGGCACTCTGGGAGGCCAAGGCAGGCGGACTGCTTGAGTCCAGGACGTTGAGGCTGCAGTAAGTATAACTGCATCACTGCACTCCAGCCTGACAGGGTGACATAGACCCTGCCTCTAAATTTAAAAAATAAAAAAGGTGAACATGAATCACTTGTGAAATAAAATGTCAACTAGAAGTATCCATATTTTCTTTTACTCTTTTGAAAACTGTGGGTGGCCTTGCCTCAGCCCTGATCCCCAGCGTGTAGCTCTTCTGCATAGAGGCCAGAGTAACCCACAGCTCGGCATTGGCTCTCCTCACCTTGAGGTGCTGGTGCATGCAGTAACGACAGACCTTATGCTTCATCTCATGCGTGACATCACTCGAGAAAGGAATGAATCCACATTTTGGCTGTAAAATAAACAAATGAGGAGGAAAAATATTTAAGAAGAAATCATATACCTCTACGTAGACACATCACTGACTACAAGACAATGAGTGCAGCAAGTGTTAGGTATGAACAGCCTCAGAAGCTGTTTTCATTTGCAGCTCCCAGAGAGAACACCACTTCCTGCACCAGATCACACAAACATCTCTGCTAGAGGACCCATGACCAGAACTCCCACTGAGGAGAGTCAGTGGTGCCTCTATGCTGGCTTAACACAAGTACAACACACAGTAGCTTCGTGCTTTCATTCAAGACTGTGACTGCAAGACTCTAGGAATAGAGATGGACCCAGGACTGCCAACTCCAAGAAGCAGAACCATGGTTCCTGCTGACACTAGCATGTGGCCTGACAGGGGTCCATCTGACAGTTACTAGGCTCCCAGAAGGTCAAGGAAGCCCCACTGCCCTCTAAAAGCTGCAGCCTCTGGGCATACACAATACACAGGCCTGCGCTGAGCCTAGAGCACTGGAGATTGTGGCTGGAGAAGCAGAACATCCACCCACAACTGAGGAGAACCATGAGGCATGAGCTCAGGCCAAGAGTGTGACCCAGAAATTGCTGCCTTAGAGTTGGAGGAGGGAAACAAAGGCCAGAACATGCGAGGCAGCTTCCTGAGGGACCCTGAAAGCCACCCCCTGCACATGGGTAGCAGAGTGCTGAAGCGAGGGGGACCCTGGCCCATCCAGCCCCCACTGCCTGGCACCAAAGAAATTCAGGACTCCTGGTCATGACATATCAGTGCCTCTGAGGGTCACAACGGCCTTTGTGCCTCCAGGAAAATCCATCCTGAGCAGGACACGGAGAGCTCCCCAGTCTATAGGGAACCTGTGGATGGGGCTCCTGCAGCACAGCAAGCAGCAGCCAAGCACCAAGCAGGCAAGGCCAGCGGGGAGGGGCACAGAGGAAAGCCAGGGGACCCTGGCAAGCTGTGCCCTCTGAGCAAAACTGGGTGGGGGGCCCCCAATACACTTCCCTCTGGTGACCCTCGACCAGGGCTTGTTCCAGCCCAGGCATACAGGGTGGGTGGGGTCTCCTGTCATGAGCTACCAGGAATGAGCATAAACCTGGGGTCTGGGAGCCATGGCAGGAATCACAATGCAAGTGGGGGCTGTAGAAGGGAGAAGCAAGTGGAGTTTCCAGGAGCCAAGGGTGCATACCAGTCACTTCAGTGGGAACTAGAACACAAGGCACACAACTCTTGGACTCACTACCTAGGACTGACCTTTCCTCCTTCCCCACACCATCTCCCCTTCGACAGATCACCTTAATCTCTACACACAGAATTGGCCGGTGCTCTGCAAAGTGGTAGGTCTGAAGTCTGGTTAAATTGGGAAGGCACATAGCGTAACCACTGAGAGTGTCCAGGTCCTTGTCACAGCGAGACTCTGGAAAACAGAGCAAGGGTCACACAGAACAGGGTCAGTGAGAGAGATGAGATGAGCCCTGCCCAAGACAGGCCCCACCTTGTCCCTGATTTCTCGGCATCATCTCTGTGCCTGATGAAAACCTCATGTTTCCCTGGGGACTGTGGGGCAGACACACACACACACACACACACACACACACACACACACACACACACAGTAACAACTTGGTTTATGGAAGGAGTAGCTTCAGGCCTTGTGGTATCAGCTCAAGCACTGGAGGGGCTAGAGACTGTAGTCAGCCACACGGATGGTCAGCCATGTCGATGTGCCTTAGCCCTAATGAAAACTCTGGGGCCGGGCGCGGTGGCTCAAGCCTGTAATCCCAGCACTTTTGGAGGCCGAGGCGGGTGGATCACGAGGTCAAGAGATCGAAACCATCCTGGTCAACATGGTGAAACCCCGTCTCTATTAAAAATACAAAAAAATTAGCTGGGCATGGTGGCGCGTGCCTGTAATCCCAGCTACTCAGGAGGCTGAGGCAGGAGAATTGCCTGAACCCAGGAGGCGGAGGTTGCGGTGAGCCGAGATCGCGCCATTGCACTCCAGCCTGGGTAACAAGAGCGAAACTCCGTCTCAAAAAAAAAAAAAAATAGAAAAGAAAACTCTGGACACCAAGACCTGGTGAGCTTCCTGGTGGGCACATTCCATGTGTGTGTCACACATGGTCGATAGGAGAATGAATGCTGCCCACACAATTCCTGGGGAGAGGACACCCAGAAGCTCATGCCAGGTCTCTCCCATGCCCCACCCCTGCACCTCTCTCCTTGGCTGCTTCCATCTTTATCTTTTTCCTGTAATAAATCATAAGCATGAGTAAAACAGTGAGTTCTGTTGGTCCTTCTAGCATATTATCAATCCTTAGGGTAGTCTTGGGGATGGTCCCCTAATTCCACAACACCCTTAGCCCAGGAACTTGAAGAGGAGGGGGCTGCAGGCCCTACGTTTTCTCACTTCTAGGCCCTTCCCAATCCCCAGCACACCAGTGTTTCCCCAGCACCATATCTGCTGGAAGCCATGGTGTAGACAGAGCCAAGTAAGCCTGGGCCCCAGGCACCCCAGGGACAGGCTTTCCTCCTTTAACATAACGAGCCTTACCCCAAGACTGCTTCTTATCACTGTGGTGTGGTTAGACCTCCCACGGTTGTTATGAAATGGCAGGCCGAGTATCAGAGCAGTCGCAGGCAGCACCCTAGAGCCGGCCTCAGCCTGCCTTCACTGGGAGGAGGAACTGGAGCCCTGCCACTGTCCTGTGGCCTTCCTGCCTCCCCAACTTTTCCCGCAGCATGAAGCCCACTCCTTCCTGCCCCAGCCAGAGACGGTAGACCCAGAGAATGGTCTGCTTTCATTTTCCAAATCAAATCAGGAAAACATTGGATACTGGCCAATTCCACCCCCTCGTTGCCTGGCTGTGCTCTGGGCAGAGGCATTTCCACCCTCAACTCATGAAATTTCTCTTTGATGACTGACTGAAAAAAAAGCTTTGACCTTGTTCCTGTCAGTAAGGCCACCGGCAAGTGCAGAAAACGGAGTGGGTGGGGATGGAGGATAAAGGGAGGGGTGAAGGGATGGGAGGGGATTGGGGAAGGACGGCATGGGGATGGGGAAGGTGAAGCCACAGAAGGCCCCTGGTTTCCCTATTCCTCAGAAGAGCACGGACCCATGGATGTGTGCCAGCCTCCAGCTGCGGGCAGCTCCCAGGGCTGTAGACCCTCCTGGGCCAGGCCCTCCCTCCTGAAGCTCAGGTCACCCAGTTTCCTTTTGCCTCTCCTAGGGTCCCCCTGGGACCCTTCCCTTTCCTAAGTCTGCCCCAGACCCTCCACCTCCAGCTCCTCCCTCATGCTGTTTTCTGTTGTATTAACTGGCTCTTTTTTGTTTGAGACATAGTCTGACTGTGTTGCCTGGGGTTGGAGTTCAGTGGTGTTATCACCGCTAACTGCAATCTCCACCTCCCAGGTTCAAGTAATTCTCCTACCTCAGCCTCCTGAGTGGCTGGGATTACAGGCACCCACCACTACACCTGGCTAATTTTTGTTTGTTTGTTTGTTTGGTTGGTTTTCAGTAGTTTAGTAGACACAGGGTTTCACCATGTTGGTCAGGCTGGTCTTGAACTCCTGACACCTTGTGATCTGTCTACCTCAGCCTCCCAAAGTGATGGGATTATAGGCAAGAGCCACTGTTCCCGTGTTAATTGGTTCTTCATCACATATTCTGTGCACACTCTGGTTTTCTGATACAGAGAATTGTATCCATGATCTCTCAGGATTTCTACCCTGACAATGAAGTTTCTGGCAAAAGGATTACTGAAAACCGCATGTTTCAAACATATCATTTCAAACACTTTTTTTTTTTGAGATGGAGTCTCGCTCTGCAGCCAAGCTGAAGTGCAGTGGCAAGATCTCAGCTCACTGCAACCTCCACCTCCCCAGCTGAAGCGATTCTCCTGTGCCAGCCTCTCGAGTAGCTATGACTACAGGCGTGTGCCACCACGCCCAGCTAATTTTTGTATTTTTAGTAGAGACAGGGTTTCACCATGTTGGACAGGATGGTCTCAATCTCTTGACCTCAAGATCTGATCTGCCCACCTCAGCCTCCCAAAGTGTTGGGATTACAGGCGTGAGCCACCACGCCCAGCCTCTCAAACACTTTTCAAATGAAATATTTTAAATCACAAACAATATTTGTAAGTGAAACAAGTGAAACACCCTTACCTGGTCTTTCAGATTGTATCTTTAAACAAAGCTGTTTCACAAACTCTAAAGGTAGCTGCACAACTTCCTGTAAGAAAAGACATGAAATTCTCAGTGTGAACTGAACAATGACATAAGCACGATGTCACAGAACTGCATACCTTCACACCGTTGGGTTGTAGGTTTTTATGTTATGTGTATTTATTTTTTTTTTTAAGTTTACTGCTTAAAAAAAAATCAGTGTGTGGGTTTTGGGAATAAAAGCTGTTCTATTATTTTCAGGACATGTCCAGGTTAGAGACACCAATATTTCATCGCAATCAGGGTGGCCAGCTCTCAGAATGGCTGGGCCCACGGTGGTGACCAGCATCCCTCACCAGAGAGTACCTGGCTGAGCCCCTTCTGGTCTTTATAGCATTTATGGACCCAGAGCAGTTCTTAGACCATGTGGAAGACCCTTGCAGACCACTCAGACAACCTGAGAACCTCACGCTCCCACCTGAGGTGCAGCTCGGCATCTGAGGGAATCACTCATCCTGGGAAGACAGGCTGTGCCTCCTCAGCCCTGGAGCACACAGCATAACCAACGTTCAGCATTTTCCTCCATATGGCTTTTCTGTGAAGTTTCCCAAATGAAAGGCTTTTATTTAAGCCACATTGTTCACCATCTTCGCCATCCTATTGTTTCCAGGACGGCAGAATTGTGACTTCTGAAAAAGTCTCAAAGGGACACAGAAGATCTGCTAGGCTAAGAATGCTGGGATCCCGCCCACTGAGACCACGCCTTCTCCACCCTACGGATCATCTCAAGGAAGTCCAAGTTCTTGCTCCACTTTAAAGAAAGCAAAAGCACAAAAAGCCTAGATGCTGATGCTGGATGCCTTGTATGTGAGAACTACAGCCCAGAATCACAGGAGGCCCTCACTCTGCCTGGGCCCCCACCCCACAGCACATACGGCTGGGAGACACTGCAGCCACACAGGTCTCAGGTCCACAAACCCGGCAACGACCTTCCACACCGCTGTCTGCCCACGCATGGCCTGAACTCAGTCACCCAGGTGAAACACAGACCTGAGTTTATTTTCAAGAGCTGTGAATCACTGGTTTTATAATAAGCATATCTGTGTTTAAAATCAAAATAAATGTTGGCCTGGTGCAGTGGCTCACACCTATAATCCCAGCGCTTTGGGAGGCCAAGGCAGGCTGATCATTTAAGCCCAAGAGTTCGAGACCAGCCTGCCCAACATGGTGAAACCCTGTTTCTACAAATAAATAAATAAATAAATAAAATTAGCTGGGTGTGGTTGTGTGCACCTGTAATCACAGCTACTTAGGGAGGGGGGTCTGAGGCAGGAGGATCACTTGAGGAGGTTGAGGCTGCAGTGAGCCATGACTGTACCACTGCACCCCAGCCTGTGTGACAGAGCAAGTCCCTGTCTCAAAAATAAAAAACAAAAACAAACAAATGCTGACAGTAAGCATCCTCTTAAAAGTCCGACCACATTGTCAAGTGGGTACCATGCCACCGTCCAACCACGTGAGGATGGCACCAACCAGCTCCTGCATAAGGCATTTACCTAAGAGGACCAGAGGGAAGTCCACAGACATCCCCTCCTGGAGCTGTCCCCTGGAATTCCCACAGAACTTCCTGTAACCTGGGTGCTGAGATGTGGAAGGATCTCCAGGCATCACCCTCCAAATGGCAAAGGGATGACTGCTCAGAAGGACAAACAGCCACCAGCCTGGCTGTCCCTTTACTCCTCATGTGCCCAGCCTGAAAACTGGCCTATGGCACAGAACTGTCAGCATGTGAGGTTCCAACGGAGCTGAGGCCAGTGCCAGAGAGCATCCAACCTCACCAGGATTTGGCCCACAGCAGCGAGGTGGGACTTCTGAGCTTTCCGAGTCCTCCAGCAACAATGGAAGAACAAGGCAAGCAGCTTCTACCCCATCCCCATTTCCTAAACTCTCCAGCTCCCAAACCCAGCACTGGAGATAGGCCTAGACCAGTGCCACCCCTACGGAGCAGGGCTCAGAGCCAGGGTGTGCCTGTCCCTGTCTCTTGGATCTTGTCCCTGATTGGATCTTGCCCCAAAACAAACAGGAGGGAAACACTATGCTTTGCCTAACTTGCTGACACATTTGTTCTTCCCTCACATGGCCCTGTGTGGCCCTGCAGATACAGCCACCCTGAGGGGTACATGTCAGCCTGGAATGGGCTCTGTGCCCACTTTCCTACTGTGCCAGAGCCCAGCGGCTCTCCTTCTGGGACATGCTGGGCCTGCAGTGCAAGCAAGCTCTGCTTCACTTTGTCGGTATCTTAAGGTGGAGAAAATGCGCTCAAAGGCGGGCGGACTTGTGGGTTGAGCCCTGTATGCTGTTGGTTCATTTATGGTGGCCCTTCCCACTGAGGACAAACCCAGAGCCAGAGTGCTCCCTGCCAGAAAAGCTCCCCCTCCTTTCCCCTTCCTCAGAGCAGTGCCCAGTGCTCACCCCACCAGGTCACCAGGTTGCCAATGCCCCTGGCCAAAAAAGGCCATCACCACCCGAGTCCTCCTGCCACAGAGGCTTCTGGTGGATATCACCCCAAGAATGTTCCTTCCTCAAGAAGAAAACTAGTCACGGCATGGAACCATCCAAGGGACATGCCCTGGGGAAAATCTCCATGAATCTTCCTAAAAGGGGAACTGTGACCTACCAATGTGCCCAACACCATGACAGTGCAGTCAACAGGCTGGAGGCGAGCCATGTACCTGCAGCAGCCGCAGAAGGGTAGGACCCAGGGGCCTGTCCAGGCCTCAAAACTAAAGTTCTGCTCAGGGGACAGCCCCAGGCAAGAGGTGAACCACAGCTGGCATCCCTGGCCTGTTCCCACAGACCCCAGTACAGGCGGCAATGCCCAGGGACTCCCACGGCTTTTCTTTAAACCCCAGCTTTTTTTTTTCCCCCTTTATCATGATGTACTGATGAACAGCTTTGAGTATATGTCTTTGCCCAGAATTCTGGTCATTTCCTTAAGATGGATTCCAGGTGGGGAATTGTCAATGCTAACATTTTTCGATTTTTTTTTTTTTTTGAGACAGAGTTTTTCTCTGCCACCCAGGTTGAAGTGCAGTGGCGCAATCTCACATCGAGCAATTCTCATGTCTCAGCCTCCTGAGTAGCTGGGATTATAGGCATGTGCCACCACTCCTGGCTAATTTTTGCATTTTTAGTAGAAACGGGGTTTCACCATTTTGGTCAGGCTGGTCTTAAACTCCTGGCCCCAAGTGATGTACCCACCTTAGCCTCCCAAGTGCTGGGATTACAGGCGTCAGCCACCAGTCCCAGCCATTTTTAGGTTCTTTTTTTTTTTTTAATTAATTAATTTTTTAGAGACGGGATTTCACCATGGTCTCGATCTCTTGACCTAGTGATCTGCCCACCTCAGCCTCCCAAAGTGCTGGGATTACAGGCGTGAGCCACCATGCCCGGCGACCCCAGCTTTTAACATTCATTGAGCAGCCAAGGCCCTTCCTAGATGTGATGAGCCGCCCCCCAGGACAGCCCCAGCAGGCCCTGCCATCCTCCCATGTAGGGTGTCCTGTGTTCAGTGGTGCCCAGGGGCAGAGAGGAAAGCCATTCCTTGGGACTCAGTGGTACTGGATGCTACTCGAGAGCCCTCACTGAGCAGGAGCCTCCAGGAGAGCCAGTGGAGATAGGCCCTAAAGAGCAGGGGTTCACGTGGGCCCTTTGAACCACATGCTTCTCAGATAGGAAGAGAAACTGCAGTATCCACTCTGCTGCCACCCAGCACAGCAAATGAGAAACACTTGGAGACTACCTGGACACGGATTATCATTAAGCACAAAGTTCCACATCATCATTGGGAAGTCGGTGGTTGTGACGCAAAATGTGCCCAAGAATTGAGACATGAATAAAAAGTACTTACCCCACAATGAACGTAGTTCTCCCCCAAAAACTCTTTCATGACATTTTTGCCAAAGTCCACTATGTTCTGCAGGTGCTGAAATATCTCTTCTGAGGTCTGTAAGAGACAAGCACAGGACAGCCTTCGTGATGGGACCTCCCAGCAGAGCCTGGCTTAAGGGGAGAAGTAAAAACCACCACAGATCCTGCCACAGGCAGGGGGATGCCCCAGCCACAGACAGAACCCTGGTGACAACCCTCAGATCCAGAGGAAGGTCCCCAGTGCCCCTCCCCACCAGCGTCCCTCCCCCACCATACCACCTCCCTGGCCCAGAGGCTTGGAAAGGTAGCAATCTGAGGACTGTGTTGCTGCTGCCTCCCGTCTGCCCTTCTCCCAAAGCAAACCTTACACACACCTTCCAAGCAATGTGGCTTTGAAAACCTCTGACATTTCACATCCCAATCTCTGAAGAGATTTTACTAATCTTTGGCCTCTAAATGTAGAATATTCTTTCCCCAGTCAGAGGTTCTTAAAGAGTCAGTAAGGTGATAAAACTGGCTGAGACAAGAAACCATCCCCTCCTCCCTCAACCTGTCTCAAAGGTGAGAAGCCCAGAGGGCCCCTGATAGGCTGCTTCCGGAAGACATCCACAAAGGCTGGCCTGGCAGTCTCACTACTGCCTGCAGGTACCTGCCTTTGTGGTGCTCGTCCAGGGCAGGCCCGGAGGTGCCCAGCGCCTGGCTCATGCTCAAGAAGGTCCCAGGACTGAGCAGCTGCCCAGTACCCCATAGCCTCTAGAGAACCTGCTGCCCACACCCAGCTGTGCCCTGCCAGATACAGCATGTGCAGGTGTCCTGTGCTCATGCAATGAGATCAGTCAGAACTAAGCCTGACAGAAAACTCCAGAACACACCCAGTAGCCCAGTGCAGCCACGGTCAGTTTCTGACAAAAAAATCCCCACTGGCCGGGCACGGTGGCTCACACCTATAATCCCAGCACTTTGAGAGATCGAGGCGAGCAGATCACCTGAGGTTAGGAGTTCGAAGCCAGCCTGGTCAACATGGTAAAACCCCATTTCCACTAAAAATACAAAACTTAGCTGGGCGTGGTGGTGGGTGCCTGTAATCCCAGCTACTCGGGAGGTTGAGGCAGGAGAATCACTTGAAGCCAGGATGCAGAGGTTGCAGTCAGCCGAGATTGCACCACTGCACTCCAGCCTGGGCAACAGAGCGAGACTCTGTCTCAAAATAAAAATTAAAAAAGCCACCCTGGTCAGTAGAAAAGTGACCATGCAAGTCTCCACTGATCACACGGTTTGTCACACTATGTCATTTACAGAGGAAATGTAGCTAACTGCTGCCTGGCAGACACTGCCCAGGTCACTCCACACAGAAGATCTGAAGAGGTCCACAGATGCCAGGCCTTGGGGGAGTTAAAGTTAGGGTGGTTTGAGCTCTGCAGTCACTGAATGGGGCAAAGAAGGGGACAGAGAAGACTGGAGTCAGCCGCAGGGACTGACTCCATGAATCCATGGGATTCGTTCCACAAGCCAGAACCACCTAGGCCTGTTTCTCTTCAGCAGCTGAGGTGGAAACTGCAAGACAGTGGGGCTCTCCCATCCTCCTCTGCCTGCCCAGCTTGACCCCAAACCCACTGTGGCCCCACTAATGGCAACACCCCAGCTCTCCCCCATGGCTCTCTCCTCCCTTTCTATCGTGCCCCTGCGGCAGCTGTCACCTCCACCCACCACCACCCCCCGGCCTCCCTTTCTATGACCTCTACTCAGATGTTCCAACCTGCCATCTCCCAGGAGCTCTCAAGGGGTGGTGACTCATCAGCCCCATATCCTCGCCAGAGCCAGCCTCCGCCTGCCCCCACTGAGGGACAGCCACCATCCAGGAGCTCACCCCCAGCCCAGCTGCATGTGTCCACGCACAGGACCCACAAGTATCAGATGGGAAGCAGAGAGGGCTGTGGATGCAGGAAGCCTCCATGACTCAGTGCACACCCCAGGAGCAACAGAGATTTGCACAGAAAGCTGCAACTCGGTGGCCAAAAACGAGAGGGCAATGCTTTTTTACAGGTGGTCCACAGTATTTTCTTTGACTCAGCAAACAGAAACTTAACAACCCCCTCCTGCCGCAATGTTTAACACTCCTATGCAATGTCTACCCCAGCACTGGAGACTCCATTTTCATACATACAATTCCACAGATGGGGAAACTGAGGCAGCAAGTGCTAAGGAACTTGGCAAGGCAAAGCTTGCCTGGTCCTGGGATCCTTGCCACAAGCAGGGCCCTCTGAACAGACCCTGCATGCCAGGCCAGGGCAGCTCCTGCTGAGCGCCACGTGGACTACCACAGTGACACAGAGGTCAACATGCTGGGCCCAGTCAGTTTTACATCAGGAATGATGGACACACCACTTTCTGCATTAAATGCTTCTGTCATCTTTGAATTCTACAACTAGCATCAATATTTCTACATCAGAAAAAAAAAAATCAGTTTTCTTAAATAATTATTGTAATGTCTGGGTGCAAACCTACCCATCTTACCTTCTTCCTATTTGGAGGAAACTTCAGAAAACGCAGCACAACACAGCGCTGTTGGAAAATAAAACAAAGTTTGATTAGTATTTGCTCAAAGCCAAGGTGCAAGCTGTCAGTTTGGGGGTCCCATCCTCAGTGGACAAAGCCCACCAAGGCCAAGAGGCTGGAAAGCCCCCAGGGTCGGGAGGCCAGGGCTGGGACCCAGCAAGGGCATGCTGAGCAGCAGGACAACCAGGAACCTTCAGCCTCCAACCCACCAGCCCCTCCCAGGACTTTATCTTAAGGAAATAATTAAGGAAATAAATAAAATGGAAATAACCTAAATGCCCAACAATAATGAGATGGTTTAAACACAGTGGGACACATTTCAAACCAGTGAATGATTTATAAAATGATCAGTATTTACAAACAGAGATTTGTGGTCATCACATATTGCTAAACGAAGAAAGTTACAGAGCAGGGCTTACGGAATGAGCCTGTTTTCATAAAAAGAGAAACACACACGCACACACACACGTATATGGGTATAATTCTACTTACATAAAGTTCAGAAAACAGGTAACACTGATCCCTTGTGCCCACCCCTTGGACGTGCATGAACAGTTGCTGAGGAAGATTCTAGAAGGGACTGGTCAGAGGATTATGGGTCCACTTACTTTGTGATAATTAAGCTATATTCATGATCTGAGTAGTTTTCTGTAGGTATGTTAAACTTCAAGTTTTTAAAATAAAAATTTTTTAATAAAATTAGTATGATTTGTCTATATCAAATCGTCTAAAAGGACATTCAGCACAAGAGTAACAACATCTCCAAGTAGCAATAATTACAATCATTTTTTAAAAATTTATCTTTATTTTGAATATTCCAAGTTTTTACATGTTCAAAAAATAAATTATAAGAACATATATTACATGTAGGAAGGAGAATGTGCCTGGGATGGGTTCTAGCTGCAGTGCAAGGGTGGGAGGTCCAACGCCCTGGGTAGCGCCCCTGCTGAGGCCACAGAGCAAAGCCTAGGCAGGTGGGAGGAAGCAGGCTGCAATGAAGGCTTAGAAAAGGCCATTTTCTAGATCAAAAGATGCCTAAGGAACAACAAAGGCCCTATGGAGACCAAGCCAGACTCCCCTGCCAGCTCCCCATGGCCCCACTTAGACAATGTACATTGTTGTTCTTAAATCCCAAGCATCCAGCCCCCAGGGCCCCTCTTACTGAGCTCCAATTCCCAGCCAGTGCCATGCTCCTGGCTTGCTGTTCTGCAGACAGCTGTCCCCTCCTTGAGCCCCAAGCTGAGACCTGGGGAAGCCAAGATCAAATAGCATGCATGGTACCACTGTCCCCTCCCAAGCTGAAGGCAGGTATCAACAATCAAATTGTGGGAATTGACTGCCTAAGGATCATTTTAATGGAACTATAACTCCACCAAAATTTAAGGGAAGGCAGAAGTTGATCAACAGAAATCCTAATTCTAGTCGGCTCTCCAGAAGCTCGCTCACCTGAAAGTGTGTTTGATCCTCACCTGCACATGATGGTGTGTGCTATTCGAGTGTGCCTGACCTGCCCTTCAACAATTAGGCACCAAATACAGAACAGCTCTCCACTGATAGCAGGCATCCAGCGACACTTTACTAGTGACATCTAAGTGTGATTGAGGAAAACTCGTAAGTTTACCAGAGTAATCCTGGTCATGCTTGAAAATTAACACAGTACGAAAATATATTATGTTAAATCCCTGACCAGTGTAGACTGACCCATGCTGCCACAGTGTAAGTTCTGCCCGTCCCTCACAGGGCAAACCCCGCCACCCACAGGGGCCCAGCCCACTCATCCGCCAGACTGCATGCACAGAGCTCTGCGGCATCTACGGGAAAGCAAGGCCTCTCTCGGTTTATCACGGAACTAACTCAAAAGCTGCACAATGGACTTTTGCAGCAAAGCAGTCCTGAGCAGGGTGATGCCAGGCCAAGACACACAAGCTTTCTCATCGCAGAAATTCCCCGCTGCAGCCTCAGAAGAAGGAATTCACTGGGCCATGAACAGAAATACTAACTACAAGAACACAGGACCCCCTGACTTGGTAGCATTCACCTGCTAACACAGACTCAGCTTTCCAAAGTACCCTGCCACTGTACTGCCAGGAAAGGCGGGAACAAGTAGTCTTTTCTGTTTATTTATAAATGGAGATTATAAATTTTCTATGCATTATGATTACACACAAAACTATTCACATAAAGTAGAAGTTAATTCAGAAAGCCATTATCTGGTTTACAAAGAAAAAAAATTTTTTTTAAATAAGTTGTACAGGGCATTATACAAAGAAAAAACATACCCAGGTCCCAGGAGAAAAAGATGTCAGAGCCTAAATGATTGCAGGACTTAGCCGGGTGCGGTGGCTTAAGCCTGTAATCCCAACACTTTGGGAGGCCGAGGCGGGTGGATCACAAGGTCGAGAGATCGAGACCATCCTGGTCAACATGGTGAAACCCCGTCTCTACTAAAAATAGAAAAAATTAGCTGGGCATGGTGGCACATGCCTGTAATCCCAGCTACTCAGGAGGCTGAGGCAGGAGAATTGCTTGAACCCAGGAGGCAGAGGTTGCGGTGAGCCGAAATCGTGCCATTGCATTCCAGCCTGGGTAACAATAGCGAAACTCCCTCTCAAAAATAAATAAATAAGCCAGGCGCGGTGGCTCAAGCCTGTAATCCCAGCACTTTGGGAGGCCGAGGCGGGTGATCACGAGGTCGAGAGACGGAGACCATCCTGGCCAACATGGTGAAACCCCGTCTCTACTAAAAATACAAAAAATTAGCTGGGCATGGTGGCGCGTGCCTGTAATCCCAGCTACTCAGGAGGCTGAGGCAAGAGAATTGCCTGAACCCAGGAGGCGGAGGTTGCGGTGAGCCGAGACCGTGCCATTGCACTCCAGCCTGGGTAACAAGAGTGAAACTCCGTCTCAAAATAAATAAATAAATAAATAAATAAATAAATAAAATTTTAAAAATTAAAAAAAATGATTGCAGGACTTAGTGCTCAGTCCTTGTGGATAATAAAATATTATTCTTCTTCCCTCTAGCACTTAATAATTATTACTGCAATAGCCAGTAGGTGCTAGCACCAGCACTTTAGGCCCCAGGCTACACTCCTAAACTTCATCATCTCTAGCCGTCTCTCCCTCCAAGGTGGGCAACTGAGTCCCAGTCTACAGAATGAGGGAAGTGGTCTCAGAAAACCCAGGTCCAGCCACACCTGCTGGCCCAGCCTCAGCCTGGAGGGAAGCCTTGATCAAGATCAAGACCTTGACTGCAAAAGTCAAGTTCACGTAGAGCCGAGTTCAGAGGAGGGCCTGGACACTGGGAGGTTCGCTGAGTCTTTCTGGTGGCCAGGCTCCTCACTGCTACTGAGTCGCTGGCAGGGGCTGGGGGCACTGGCTACTGTGCTGCCCCTCAGGAGAGGGTAACACACAGGCCTTCCAAGCCTGGGCAGAGAAGCCTGAAGCAGCCTTCCCTCTCGGCCCTCCCAGCCCCTTCCTCACATTTCCTCCACCACCACATCCAAACACAGTGGCTTGGCCTCCCTGCTGTCACTCACAGGAAATCTCCTGCTATGCCTTCCCATTATGGAGCCCAAGAGCCACAACCAACCAAGGAAACCTGAATACAGTGATTTGTCCATTTCAAGGGAAACTGCTTTCTCCACCCACCCATTTATCATCCAAAAACGGACACAAGAAACCCACCTACCCACACTTTCCCAGGGGAACTGTAGTATCAGCCAGTTTTCATTAATACCAAAACTCAGACTCACTCAGCTCACCTATCCTGTACAACCTGTGCCAACTGCCTCATGTGAGGGGCCTGATCAGACTGGGCTGGCTGAGGTGAGTGGTCCCCAAGATATGCCAGGCTGAGAGTTTTAGTAATGCATAGGCCACAGGGCCCCACTACCCTCAGGCAGGCAGCTGGCAGGAAACAGGTGAAAAATTAACACCGTAGCGGCTCTCATTAGCAGAAAGACGCAATGAGTCCAAGGGGCACCCATGGCTGGGGAAGTGGTGTGAGTGCACTTCATGATGTTCTGTGACAACATCATCACCCAACAATGCAGCTCTCAGAATGCATCCCTGGTGTTAAGTGATGCTTGACAATAAGCAGAAAAAAAAAGAAGAAAGTGCACCAAAGTGTTAACAAAAGTTGTTCTCTTCATGGAGAAATACTGGCTGTTTTTCACTTCCTTCCTTCTGATATTCTATATTTTTAGAGGGAAGAAGCAATAATTGGTCTTAAATAAAAACAGAAGGCCACAAAACCCCCAATATATTAAAAGGGACACCTGCCAATGGTGACAGGTGACAGGACACCAAGCCTAAAGGGGCACCGTATGAGTAGAATTGAAGCTACTAACCAGAAGAGCCTTCAGGACAGATAAGGAGAGACTTTCCTGCCATCCACAGGGAACTCACTCTGGAGGGTATCACCCACAAATCAGCTGTTCCAGAGACCCGTCAAAGGACAAGGACCAAGGCCAAGTCTCCCAACAGGCTAAGGAGATAACCTGAAGTTGAGATCAGACAACTTTCGTGGGCAGGGAAGACAGAAAAAGACAATAGCAGCAGGGGTCACCCCTCAGGATGCTGCCCCAGCCTTCTAGAAGCAACGCTCAGCTCCGGCTCCCAAATTGTCAAGATAGACTCCTAGGAGGGGCTGTGGGGGATCCCAAATGTGCAGTCTAAAGAGGCTGCCCTCCCTGTAGACCCTCCTCACCTCACCCCACAGCTCCGGCTCTGTCCCAGCCAGAGAAGAAAGCTGCCCAGAGTCTGTCAGTCACCAGGGGCAGGAGGTGCCGAAGTCGCTCACCTTTGCAAACCCAACCAGAAAGTCATGTTCAGAACGCGCAGGGCTGTGGAGGGAACAAGAAGCAGGGCTTACAGTACTGGCTCCAACAGGAGACGCTCCCAAGGGTGCAGCTTGGCTTCAGCGGGGAATGTACAGCCTCAGATAGAAATACGAAGCCCATTTGACACAGGATGAAGATGTGACATCACAAGATGCCTGTGGA